TAACTCTGCCATTCTAATAAATAAATAAATCTTAAAAAAAAATAAAAAAGGTCACACAAGCAGAAAGCAGAGGTTGGCTGTGGGCAGGCACTGTGTTCTGTACTTTATTTTTCTCTGTTTCAGTGTCACTACAACAATATCAGGGAGTACTGGTTTGTCTGTATCTATATCACTTATATACATGAAGAAACTGCAGGGCGGTGAGATTGACTTGCCCAATGTCATGCAGCTAGGAAGTTGTAAAGCCAGGCCTTGAATCCAGGCAGGTGGCTCCACAGTCTGCCCTCCTAACCACTAAGCTCTATTATTCCCAGCCTGAGTAATGGGTTATGTTGTCCATCATGTTTTCAAGAGGGCTTTCTGCCCTATGTCCCCATTCGGAAAATTGAAGTTGCTGAAACAAAGCAAAGGTATTCTTGTACAAGTCTGGGAATCTTCTCTTCACTTATAAACTGGATCTCATTACTTGGTTCAGAGTCAAAGTAACATGAAAAGGTATATGGTAAAATGATTTAACCCCCTCTTGGCTCATCCGGCTCTATTTTTCTACCTTATACTTCTGTTAGTTTTTGTGTATACTTATTCTTTATATACTCACAAGCAGTAAAAGTATATATGAAGGTACTTCAAAAAGATCATGGAAAATTGAATTTAAAGATAAGTTTCAGGGCAGGTGTTTAGCCTAGTGGTTAGGACACCACATCTCATGTTGGAGTGACTGAGTTTGATACCCGGCTCCTTTCCTGACTCTGGTTTCTTGCTGATGAGGATCCGGGAGGCAGCAGTGATGGCTCAAGTGGTTGGGTTCCTGCTACCTACGTGGGAGACCTGGATTGAGTTCCCAGCCCAACCCTGTCCCAGCTGGCATTTAGGGATAGAACCAGTAGATGGAGCTCTCTGTCTGTCTGTCTGTCTCTGCCTTTCAAATAAACAGGTAATAATATATGCTTAATTTGATGCAAAAAAACTTTGAATAGTTTTTTCATTATATTCATTTTCTGTGAACTTCCTGAAGATCCTACATGGGAATGGATTCTAAAAATTTTTTGTACCAAAATAAACTCATGTTTTAAATCCATTTTCCATGAATTGTTTAAGTACCCTGTGTATATACACATATGTGTATATATATACATATACATATATAACCCCCCTTTCTTACACATAAAATAACATGCTGTATATACTTTACACTTTCTTTTTTTCTCTCAGCTCATCCAAAGGTTATAAGCCCTTTTCATTCATCAGATATTTATTGAGAGAGCCTCTTTATACAGACACTGTGCTGGCTTTGGGGGAATATACAAAGAAGCATGAAACAGAACTATTTGGCTGCAGGAAGATTACAGTCTAGTTCTGTGATGAGAACATAAAGTACTTAAAGCGTGGTGTTTGTACAGTGCACTGCTTTCTTAGCTGATTGAAGCTTCAGTGCCAAGCACATTCAGCCTGGCAAAGGTGGTAAATATACACCGTGGTCTGTGGGGCCAAGGTGAGAGAGCTGCTGAAGTCTAAGGCTCCAGAATACAAGAACGAGGTCTCATTTAATCCGAGTGTCTTCTTTCAGACTTTGTGGTTTGAATAAATCAATCTGTACTTGTTTTAAATATAGCCTTCAAGGGAAGAGTTTTATATCTTTTTCATGAACCCAAAGGGAAGATTTTTAGAACCATTTTGATTTTAGAATTCATCTGTGCCTGAGGAGTCTGGTCAAGTTGGATTGAAATGAAATTTTTATGTGCTTAATATAGAACTGGCAGAGGAGGGCTTATCTCTAGAGAGTTTGCTGTGGTGGAGGCGGGGGGAGGAAGATCTTCCTCTTTTTTCCTTAGTGAGGCCGCCTCCTCCATTTATTCCTACCCCATGGGCAGAAAGTGGGAAAGTTAGTTTATTCCAACTACAGTAGAGCCATGGGCAAGCTGCCCTCAATTTATTGGTTTTAGTTCCCAGTTTCTGTGTATTACAACTTAATTCTATTAAAAGTCATCTTTGTTCAGAGACCCTCCCCAGACCCAGACATTGTGGGAGTGTGTGAAGGCAGTGTGGTGGGGTGGTTAAAAAAGTCCTGCTAGTGTTGAAAGCTGAATCTACCACTTTCTTGCTGTGACAAGTTACTGGACTTCTGTTTGTTTCCACTGTCCCTAAGTAAATATCATAAATTTAAGAGGCTTGTAAATTGATTCACTTTAATTTCCCCAAGGACATGAACTAAAAAAAAAAAAAAATCTAGTATCTTATGTTTATTTATACCTAAGCACTTTCCATCAAAGATCATAATGCATGCTACACGTGTAATATATATGTGTTACATACATATAAAACATGTACTATCTGTGTTATTTAAAATTTATTTATTTATTTATTTGAAAAGACAGAGTTACAGAGAGAGGGAGGAGAGAGAGAATGATCTTCTATTCATTAATTCACTCCCCCAAATGGCTGCAATGGCTAGGGCTGGGCCAGGCCAAAGTCAGGAACCTGAAACTCCAGCTGGGTTCAAGTATATGGGTGCAGGGGCTCAAGTACTTGGATCATTTACTGCTGCTTTCCCAGGTACATTAACAAGGAACTAGATCAGAAGCAGAGTAGCCAGGACTTGAACTGGTGCCCATACAGGATGCCAGCGTGGCAGGCAGTAGGTTACCTGGTGCACCACAATGCTGACCCCAGTATCTGTGCATTTCTATACTTGGTATGATGCAAAAGAATATTCTTCTTTGAAGGACTGTGAATCCCCAAAAATAAAAGCCAAATTTAAAGGCCATGTTGGGGTTAGGAATAATAATGATTTCCTCTTAGCCTCCTGCACATGCCTGCCAACCTGCTCTCTGAAAAATATTTTGTGATTTAGGTCCTTTCCTTGAAAACCTGTCATGTCACAACAAGAAAAGGAGCTCTTTCTTTGGAAGTACATTTTTGGGCACAGGATAGGCTTTTTCTTTTTTTTGTTTTGTTTTGTTTTGGCCATCCTTTTTGCTGTAGGAGTCTGCTGCTTGCGGCCACATGCCTGGTTTGGGAAGAGATGTCTAGGGAATGTGGCTAGGGAACGTGGCCTGCCTGGCTTCTCTTCCTCCCCATTCCTCTGGAAACTCTTAATGCAGTAGCTGCAGGATAAAGGAGGGGCATTGCTGCAGGGTTTGTGGGCATTTGGACATTTTCTTTGCTTCATATCCAATTTGATCTATTCCCTTAGACTCTTTATTGAGAAACTTCCAAAGCATCGAGATTACAAATCGGCTGTCATTCCTGAAAAGAAAGACACGGTAAAGGTGAGTCTGTGTTTTCATTATCACCCATTTAAAAGCTTCAAAGCAGCACAGACTAATGTCAAGTTAAAAGTACAAAAGGTCCTCGTAAAAGTTCATATTATTAAAAAGATGCATGGATTTAAAAAGTTTTTGCATGTAAATAAGCTTAGTTCCCTTTTCCATGAACTTTTTTTTTTTTTTTTTTTTTTTTGACAGGCAGAGTGGACAGTGGGAGAGAGAGACAGAGAGAAAGGTCTTCCTTTGCCGTTGGTTCACCCTCCAATGGCTGCCGCTGCCGGCACACCGCGCTGATCCGATGGCAGGAGCCAGGTACTTATCCTGGTCTCCCATGGGGTGTAGGGCCCAAGGACTTGGGCCATCCTCCACTGCACTCCCTGGCCACAGCAGAGAGCTGGCCTGGAAGAGGGGCAACTGGGACAGAATCCGGCGCCCCGACCCGGACTAGAACCCCGTGTGCCGGCGCCGACCTCCATGAACTTTTTGAAGTACCCTTGTAGTAGTCTGTGTACTTGAGGATCAAATCTTATGATAGGAGACAAGGCCATTTTGCCAGAACAGCTGTGAAACAGCAAATATGGGACAGTATTGAGTGCTGTGTTTTTTATTCTAAAAATCATTTTTAGAAACATTATTGCCATTGCCAACTTGACTTAAGTCTTCTTTTTGCCTTCTTGCTAACTTAGCTGGCATTGTTCTAACTCTCAGTTTTTCTGTTTTGTACCTCAGAAATTAAAGGAGATTGCATTTCCCAAAGCAGAAGAACTGAAGGCTGAGCTGTTAAAACGATACACCAAAGAATATACAGAATATAATGAGGAAAAGGTCAGTATATAGCATCAAAGAAGAAAATTATTATTTTTTTAGGCTGTGTCCTGGGATTGTAATATATTTCAACAGTGGCATTTTGGGGCAAACGCCAGTAACTTGAGAAAGTAGAAAGACCAGAATTTAGGCTAAGAACTCTAGCACAGATTTAACCTGCTTGTCCAGAGAAGGTGACTGGAGGGACAGAACATCTATTACCTGTCTGCTGTACTCAGAATGAGAACCTCAAGAACATTGAAATATTCTCACCAAAACATAGATTTTTAAATCAAAGAATTTGGGAATTTGTTCACATTTGGGTACACCTGAAGGTGTTTGTAATCACTGAGTTTTCAAGCCATTTCAGGTGGTTCTTGTTAAGAAGAGTCCTAAAGCATGTGGGGAAACTCCCAGGGCTCTGCCAGTGGCCCTGTGTCAGATCTGAATGCAAACTGCAGCCACTTCCACATTACTCTATTACTCTCTAGCTGTCTGCTGGGCATTGTTCTAAATTTTTTTTTTTTTTTAAGATTTATTTGTTTATTTTTTGAAAGGCAGAGTTACAGAGAGGCAGAGGCAGAGAGAGAGAAAGGTCTTCCATTGGGTGGTTCACTCCCCAAATGGCCACAACGGCCAGAGCTATGCCGATCCAAAGCCAGGAGCCAGGAGCACCTTCCAGGTCTCTCTCGTGGGTGCAGGGAGCCAAGGACTTGGGCCATCTTCTACTGCTTTCCCAGGCCATAGCAGAGAGCTATATCAGAAATGGAGCATGCCATAAGGGATGCTCATAAGGCACTGCAGGCAGCAGCTTTACCCGCTATGCCACAGCGGCAGCCTCTGTTCTCAATTCTGATGTGGAAAATAGCAGAAGAGTGATAAGGCATATAGTTTCTGTTTTGTTTTAAAGATCTATTATTTACTTTTTTGAAAAGCAGAGTGACAGAGATCTTCCCTCTACTGGTTCACTCCCCAAATACCTGCAACAGCCAGGGCTAGGCTTGACAAAAGCCAGGAGCCAAGAATTCCATTCCATTCAGGTCTCCCATGTGGATGACATGAACTTAAGCACTGGGGCCATCATCATTACCTGCCAGGCACATTAGCAGGAAGCTGGGTCAGAAGTGTGGAGCAGCCAGAACTCAAACCAGGTACTCTTAAGATGGGATGCAGGTGTCCAAAACAGTAACTTCACTCACTGTTCCATGCCCCCTACCCTGAGGCATGTATTTCTAAGGCACAGAGTAAGAGAAAACTTCAAGGAAGGAGGGCATTCTAGATGCTCTTCAGCTTACGATGGGGTTGTGTTTTGACAAACTCATTGTAAGTTGAAAATATCATAAGCTGAAAATGCATTTAATATACCTAACCTACCAAAGAACATAGCTTAGCAACAGAGTCCATTGTAGAGTATTTACTGTTACCCATGTGATGGTAGGGCTGACTGGGACCTGCAGCTGCTGCTACTGCCCAGCATCACAAAAGAAAATCATGCCACACACTGCTAACCTGAGAAAAGCTCACAACTCATCAAAGTATGTTTTCTCCTGAATGTGTATCACTTTTACACCATTGTGAAGTCATAAAATCTTAAGTCCAGCTACTGTTAACTCAGTGATTGTCTGTACCTAGTATTTCTTGTTAAAGTGTCACTCTGTGTTGAACTGATCACTAGAAAAAACTTCATTTGCCGTTAAAATTCACTAAAGGCCCTCAAGACAGCAGGTAAAAATTTGGATTTGATTCTATTTTATAGTCCTCCCCAGGATACAGAATATATACATGGCACAATTGGAGAGTAAAACTATGCGTGATAGAGGTAAGGGATACAGAAAATAAATTGCATTGAGATCAGTAAAGAAGAAAATTGGTAGAGTCATGGGAAGACACTAAAAGGGTTGAGACTTTAACTGTCCTGAAGATAGGTGCGCAGTAGCTGGATAGAAAGGAGTGGTGACTAGATCCCATGGCTAACGATGTCCTGGGGGGGCAGGAATTCTGTGTTGGGAAATCAGACTGGGGCAGAAGTACATTTTAGAAGTCCCCCTGCTGAAAAACCTTGTTGCTCCTGAGGTGTGAAGTCATTTGAGGTGTAAAGTCACCTGAGGTGTGAAGTGTTAGCCTAAATATTTTTCTTCCTTTGTAGAAGAAGGAAGCAGAGGAATTTGCCCGGAATATGGCCATCCAGCAAGAGCTGGAAAAGGAGAGACAGAGGGTAGCACAACAGAAGCAGCAACAACTGGAACAGGAACAGTTCCATGCCTTTGAGGAGATGATCCGGAACCAGGAGCTGGAAAAAGAACGACTGAAAATCGTACAGGAGTTTGGGAAGGTGGATCCTGGCTTAGGGGGTCCGCTGGTGCCTGACTTGGAAGGGCCTCCTGTACCTGTGTTCCCCACCTCACCTGTCTCACCCACGCCGCCGCCTTCAGACTGTAACACTGCTGTAAGGCCAACTAAGCCACCTGTGGTGGACCGGTCCTTGAAGCCTGGAGCACTGAGCAACTCAGAAAGTAGTGAGTTTTCCATTTGCTGGTTTCCTCTTCCATCTCTTTTGCAGCAGAGAATCATTTTGGGGGGTTCAGGCTAAGAGTACCTTAATGATTTTTAGGCTTAGGTCACAGAAACCCATTTGATAAGTATTGCTATATTGTGTCCTTTCACACTGGTTGCTTATAAAGTGGTCTTTTCTTAAACCATATAATTTGCCCAGGACCAGATTGATTTTCTGAAGACTATTAAAGGTCAAATCCTCCACTTTTGAGAATTATATAGAGATTTAAAATGTCCAGTGAATTAGAGACCAATGTTGGCCTTTTTGAAAAATAATTTTGAAATTTGTAGTATGACTACAGTTCAACAACTGACTTTTTTAAAAAGTAAAAAAGGGCTACTGCACTCTGCTTGCACTGAAAGCCTTCCTTATCTTTAAGATTAGTTAAGGGAAACATTTGCATATCGTTGGTGATAAATCAGTCTAGCCATAAAAACTATGGACAGGCTTTCTTTTTTCCCCCAACAACCAGAAATCTGAGAAAATAACAGTAGAGTTACAATAATGAGTATCCTTGATCATTAGATTAAACCTGGGGGGCTAGGAATCAACTTTCAAGTAGTCATTTCCAGAAGTCAGCTTTGCAGGTGATCCATTTACAAGTATGCGTGAGAAGGAAGCTGGGGCTGCGGTCTGAAGCAGGACTCCTCCCATTTATTCAGCAGGCTTATCTCCCACTGTTTCTGCATAGTCTGTGCTCTGAGGAAAGGGAACTGTCGTGCACCCACAACATTCCCCGGACCATCTTATCCAAAGAGATTTATGAACATTTGCCTTCTACCTAGAATCTTCTTTCTGTTTTGCTGCCTCCCTTGTTTTCCTTGAAGTCTGATTTTCCTCCCTTCAATCAGATTAGTTCCATTCTTCTTAAAACTCCCAGAGCTCTTTTGATCTCTAATGCAATTTAGATCATTCACCTGATAGTGTCATCATTAGTCAAGAACTAGATTTTAACTTCTTCCAAGGTAAGGCTTGAGTCTCACTCATATTTGTGTTCCTAGTGGGCTGACCAGTGTCTCCTTGGTATGTACATAGTAGTGGTTATTGAACAGAAAGGAAATCACTGTACCAAACCTTAATTTGTAATTCTTAGACACTGTCTGTGTGACTGTGTGTCTCCTGGTCCAAGTTTCCTACCTCTCCAGCAATTCAGATCTCGCTGTTGAATGTACAGAAGTAGAACATCTTTTTTTCACATTTTTTAATATGAAAATATGACTGTGAAAGACATTTCCTAACTTTAACTTGCTGGCTGTCTCAAGGCGTCTCTGTGGCATTCAAGAACTGAGTTCGTTCTTGACATCTTGTGTAAAGTTTTCTGAGCTGCTTCATGCATTTTGTGAAGGACTAGACTGTGGGATTTTGTTGTTGTTGTTCTGTTTTGGCATTTTGACTTTCTTCTGAAAGATAAAGTTCAAAAGCAAATAACTATCCAAATTATTTTCCATTTTCAAGAATATATCCTGGTGTAGTTCTTTGAAAGTCACTCTGATATTCTTACCTGAGATGAAAGAAAGATTTAAAATAAAAATGAAAGTTCAGTTGAGTAGGGAGGTTATTTTTTAATCCTTTGTATTAGAATTCTTGACTATTTATCTATAATATAATGTATCAAAAATATTTTTTAAAGAAATAGTTCACCCTTGTCTTAGCTTGAGTAATTAAAGTTACCTTTTCTTGAAGTTCCAAGAGCATTAATTCAGGGCTGGTGCTGTGGCTTAGCAAGTAAAGCTGCCGTCTGCAGTGCCAGAATCCCATATGGGCGCTGGTTTGAGTCCCGGCTGCTCCACTTCCAATCCAGCTTTCCACTGTAGCCTGGAAAAAACAGTAGAAGATGGCCCAAATCCTTGGGCCTTTACATCCACGTGGAAGACCTGGAAGAAGCTCTAGGCTCCTGGCTTCGGATCAGCCCAGCTCTGGCCATTGTGGCCATAGAGAGTGAACCAGTAGATGGAAGACCTCTGCCTCTTTCTGTATCTGCCTCTGCCTCTGTAACTCTGCCTTTCAAGTAAATAAGGAAATCTTTATATATACACACACATTCATACATACACACACACACCCTCTTTGAAAGGGAGATTGCACCAACTTCTTAAAAAAAAAAAAAAAAAAGAACATCAGCTCAAAAGTATTAAGTCTATTAAGTCTCATCTAACCAGACATGGATGATACCCAAGGCACACTTCATCCCGAGACAAATTACTTCTCCATTGTGAGCCTGTGAAAATAATAGATGTATGTGCTTCCAATACAGTGCAGTGGTAGGACAGTCATTCCCATTCCAAAAGAGAGAAATAGGCAAGAAGAAAGGGCTAACTAGTCCAAAGTAAATCCCAGACCCATCACGAAAAACATTAAGTCTTATAGCTGGAGAATAGTCAGAGAATAGTCTTTGTCTCCAGGGCTTGTATCCTGAGCACACTAGGGCAGAGTTGGACCCCAAGGTCGCAGCCATCCCTGTCCTTATGGCTTGCTCACGCACTTTCTCTATATAGATGTATATGTATATGTGTATGCATTTATACATATGTGTATATAAATATATGTTCCATTTTTAATTGATGTAATTGTACATATTTATAGGGTACAGAGTGACATTTTAATACATATATACAATGTCTATTGGACCGATTGAGGGTAATTAGCATATCTATCACTTTAGACATTTCTTTGTGTTGGGAACATTAAAAATCTTTTCTACAGGACAGATGTTTGATGCACTTTGGGAAATCTGTATCCCATTTAGAAGTGCCTGGGTTTGAATCCTGGCTTCACTTTCAATTCCTCTTTCCTGTTAATGCACACCCTGGAAGACAACAAGTAATGGCCCAAGTACTTGGGTCTCTGCCACCCATGTGGAAGACTTTTATTCAGTTCTGGGTTCCTGGCTTTGGCTTGGCCCAGTCCCTGTTTATTGCAGGCATTTGAGGGAGTAAACCAGTGGATGGAAGATCTGTCTATATCTGTCTCTCTGTCTCTCTGTGTGTGTCTCTGTCGACTGTGCCTTTAAATAAATTTAAAATTTTTAAGATTTATTTATTTATTTGAAAGGCAGAGTTAAAGAAAGAGAGGGAGAGACAGAGAGAGCAGTCTTCCACTCCCTGGTTCTCTCCCCAAATAGCCACAATGGCCAGGGCTGGGCCAGGCCAAAGCCAGAAGCCCAGAACTCCATTCAGGTCTCCCACATGGGTGGGAGCCCAAGCACTTGGCCCATCTTCTTCTGCTTTCCCAGGTGCATCAGCAGGGAGCAGGATCAGAAGCAGAACAACAGTGACTCGAACCAGTTCTCATATGGGATGCAGGTGTCACAGGCAGTGGCTTAACCACTGCACTCCAATAAATAAATTTGTAAAGTCCTCTGTACTACCTAGTTGTCAACTTTAGTTATCTTAACTGTGCTGTAGAACATTAGAAGTTATTCCTCCTATCCAGCTTCACTATATGCCCATTAACCATCTTCACTCCTCCCTCAACCCCACACACCCTTCACAGGCTCTGCAAATCACTATTCTATTCCTGCTTCTGTGAAATCAAGCTTTTAGATTTCATATGTAAGAACATGTGATATTTTTCTTGCTGTCCCAGACTTATTTCACTTAACATAATGTCCTCCAGTTGAACCCATTATGCCGCAAATGACAGATTTTTATTCTTTTTATCACTTGCATTCTGTTTTGTGTGTGTGTATATATATATGTCATTTTTTAATTTTTATTAATTTGAAAGTCAGAGTTACACAGAGAAAGGAGAGAGAGAGGAAGAGGAGAGAGAGAGAGAGGAAGAGGAAGAGGGGAGAGAGAGAGAGAGAGAAATCTTCCATCCACTGTTTCACTCCCCATTTGGCCACAATGACCGGAACTGCACCAATTCAAACGGGAGCCAGGACTTTCTTCCTGGTCTCCCACGTGGGTGCAGGGGTCAAGGACTTGGACCATCTTCCACTGCTTTCTCAGGCCATAGCAGAGAGCTGGGTCAGAAGTGGAGCAGCTAGGACTTGAACCAGTGCCATATGGGATGCCAGCACTGCAGGCAGTGGTTTTACCTGCTACATACACCACAGCATCGGTACCAATATTACCATATTTTCTTTATCCATTCTTCCATTGATGGACATCCAGCTAAATCTTGGCTATTGCTCATAGTGCTACAGCAAACATGGCACTGTAGATGTAGCCTTGACATACTGAATTCACTTTGTGGGATCACATGGCAATTTTTTTTTTCCACATGGCAATCTGTTTCTAGTTTTTTGAAAAGCTCCATACTGTTTTCTATAATGGCTGTACTAATTTGCATTCCCACCAACAGTGCATGAGAGTTCCCTTTTTTGGTATCATCACCAGCATTTGTTGTCTTTTTGATAATAGCCATTCTGATAGGAGTGAGATAATATCTGTGGTTTTGGTTTGCATTTCCTTGATGATTAATGACATTGAGCTTTTTTTTTTTTTTCATGTTTGTTGGCCATTTATACATCCTCTTTTGAGAAGTGCCTATTCAGATTATTTTCCCATTTTTTAATCAGATTAAAAACTCAAGTTTTGGGTTGCTGAATTGTTTGAGCTCCTTCTGTATTCTAATATTAATCCTTCGTCAGTTGAATAATGTTCAGATATTTTCTCTCATTCCCTAAATTGTTTTTCCACTCTATTGATTGTTTCCTTTACTATGCAGAAGCTTTTTGGTTTGAGGTAACCCAATTCACTTATTTTTTTAAAAAAGATTTACTTATTTACTTGAAAGGCAGAGTTACAGAGAAGCAGAGAGAGAGGGAGAGAGAGAGAAAGAGAGAGGTGTCTTCCATCCGTTGGTTCACTCCCCAAATAGCCAAAACAGCTAGAGCTGTGCCAATCCAAAGCCAGGAGCATGGAGTTTACTCCTGGTCTCCCATGCAGGTGCAGGAGCCCAAAGACTTGGGCCATATTCTACTGCTTTCCCAGGCCACAGCAGAGAGTTGGATCAAAAGCGAAGCAGCCAGGACTCAATCCAGCACCCATATGGGATGCCAGCACTGCAGGTGGCAGCTTTACCCACTATGCCACAGCGCTGGCCCTCACCTATTTTTACTTCAAAAGAATTTATTAGAAAGCACTCCTATCCACTGGTTTACTTCCCAGATACCTATAATGGCCAGGTCTGGACTAGTCCAAGGCTAGGAGCCAGTAATTCAGTTCAGTTTTCCCATGTGAGTACAGGAACTCAGTTACTTCAGCCACCACCTCTGCTTCCCAGGTTCTGCATTGGCAGGAAGCTGGAGTCAGAAGCTGTAGCTTTTCTTTTCTTTTCTTTTCTTTTTTTTCTTTTCTTTTCTTTTCTAATTTATTTGACAGATAGAGTTAGACAGTGAGAGAGAGACAGAGAGAAAGGTCTTCCTTCCGTTGGTTCACCCCACAAATGGCCACTACGGCTGGTGCTGCACCAATCCGAAGCCAGGAGCCAGGTGCTTCCTCCTGGTCTCCCTCGCAGGTGCAGGTGCCCAAGCACTTGGGCCATCCTAAACTGCCTTCCCAGGCCACAGCAGAGAGCTGGACTGGAAGAAGAGCAACCAGGACTAGAACCTGGCACCCATAAGGGATGCCGGCACCACAGGCAGAGGATTACCAAGTGAGCCACAGCACCAGCCCCTGTAGCTGGGTTTTGAACCCAGGCACAGTGGTATGGGATGCAAGCATCCAGACCCGCATCTTAAGCACTAGGTTAAAAATCCGCCCCTCTTTGTTTTGTTTTAAGGTTTATTTATTTATTTGAAAGGCAGAGTGACAGAGAAGAGAGTTCCATCTGCTGGTTCATTCCCCAGATGACTACAATAGCCAGGACTGGACCATGCCAAACCCAGGAGGCTAAAACTCCATCCTGGTCTCCCACATGGGTGGCAGGGGTTCAAGCACTTGGCCCATCTTCTGCTGCCCTTCCAGGTGCATCAGCAGGGAGCTGGATCAGAAACAAAGCAACCATGACTCAAACCAGCACTCTGATATGGGATGCCAGCATGCCGGTATTACAAACAGTATTACAAACAGCCAGTATTACAACCTGCTGTGCCACAACACTAGTCTCTTATTTTGGCTTTTGTTCTCTGTGCTTTTGAGGACATACCCCCTCATTTCCCAGACCACTTTCATAGAGCTTTTCTCCTATTTTGTCTCCTACTAATTTCATTTATGTCTTTGATCAATTTTTGAGTTGACCTTTGTATGTGGTAAGAGATAGGGATCTAGTTTCTTCCTTTATATAGACATCCTGTTTTCCCAGCACCATTTATTGAAAAGATTTTCCTTTCTCCAAGGTATTTTCTTGCTGCCTTTAACAGATATCAGTTGGCTGTGAATCTGTGGATTTATTTCTGAATTCTCTGTTGTGTTCCATTGGTCTACGTATCTGATTTTATGGCAATATCATGCTTTTTTGTTTACTAAAGACTTGTGTGTTTTGAAGTCATGTATTATAATGTCTTCAGCTTTGTTCTTTTTGCTCAGGATTGCTTTGGTTATTCAAGGTCTTTGGTGGGAATAATACAAATTTTAGGAAGTTTTATTTTTCTATTTCTATAAAGAATGTCATTTGTAATTTGATAGGAGTTGCATTGAATTTAGATCATTTTGGATATTATGGAAAATTTAACAATATTCTTTTTTCTAAGATTTATTTATTTGAGAGTCAGAGTTAGAGGAGAGGCAGAGAGAGAGAGAGAGAGAGAGAGAGAGAGAGAGAGGTCTTGTATCTGCTGGTTCACTCCCTAATTGGCCATAACGACCAGAGCTGTGCTGATCCAAAGCCAGGAGCTTCTGAGTCTCCCACGTGGGTGCAGGGGCCCAAGGACTTGGGCCATCTTCTACTGCTTCGAGCTGGATCAGAAGTGGAGCAGCCAGGTAACAAACCAGCACCCATATGGGATCCTGTCACTGCAGGCAGTGGCTTTACCCACTACACAATTCTAATAGTTTTTTGGTGAAGTCCTTAGGTTTTTTTTATTTAAAATCATGTCATCTATAGTCAGGAATAATTTGTCCTTTTTTCTTTCTTGCATGCCCTCTATTTCTTTCCTTTGCCTAATTGCTCTGACTTCCAATATTATATTAAATAAGCGTGGTAAAAGTGGACATCTTTATCTTGTTCCTGATCTCAAAGGAAACAATATCAGGTTTTCCCTATTCAGTATGATGGTGGCTATGCATTTGTTACATAGTCTTTATTTTGAAGAGGTACATTCCTTCTAATACCTGATTTTTGAGGTGTTTTTTTTTTAAATCATCAATGAATGCTGGATTTTACTGAATTTTTTTCTGCATCTATTGAAGTGACCATATGGTTTTTTTCCTTCGTTCTATTGATGTGATATATTATGCTTACTAATTTGGGTATGTTAAACCATCCTGGGATAAATGCCCCTTGATCATGTTGTATAATCTTTTCTACCTGCTGTTGGATTCCATTTGTTTGTATTTTGTTGAGAATTTTTTCATCTGTGTTCATTGGGGATGTTGTTCTATAGTTTTGTTTTTTTATTACATGCTTGTCTGATTTTTGTATCAGAGTAATGTTGGTCTCATACAGTGTGTTTGGAAAGGTTCCCTCCCCTTCACTTCTTTTAAATTATTTTAGAAGAATTGATGGTGGTTCTTTAAAGTTTTGAAGTTCAGCAATGCCACCTGGTCCTGCCACCCCTGTGGGTTGCTGGGCTCCTGGATTAGTCTCATGTCTGTAGCTTTCCCAGGCTGGAGTTGCACCTGGTGGCTCTGTGATTCTGGAGTCTCAGCTGTTGTGCCATACCTAGTGCTCCCTGAGCCATTGCCCTAGGGGGAAACTCTTCAGTGGCTCCAACCCTGTGGCAAGTCTCTGCTGGGGTCCCCAGGCCATCCCCAACATCCCTTGAAATCTAGGTGGTGGCTGCCATGGCCCCACATCTCTTGGGGGCATTGGCTCATACTACTATGGGCACTAAAAAGCTTCATGACAGGATGTGTGCAAGCTGAAGGCCCTGAGATACCGGTATCATGGCTCAGTCGAAATCCGAAAGCCTCAGCATCAAAGAAGCCAGTGGTATAATTCTCAGTCTGCGGCTGAAGGCCTGAGAATCTGAGGGGCCACTGGTGAAAGTCCTGGAGTCCAAAGAAGACTCAGAGCTCCAGGAGAAAGCGAAGAAATCACCTTTCCTCTGCCTTTTTGTTTTACCGGGGTCCCCAGCTGACTGGATGGTTTCTCCCTCATTGATGGTGGAGCAGTGCATTGACTTACACGCTTGTGTTCACTGGAAACACCCTCAGAGACACACCCAGAAATAATGCTTTCCTAGTTTTCCAAGATATTCCTTAATCCAGTGAAGCCAACACTTAAAAATTAACCATCACTGCTCTCAACATCTGTGGAAAAGGCTGGAGAAGAGACTTCACATCCCCTTTTTGGTGCCATAAGGATGAGGTCACTACTTACTGCTAGAAGCCGGGAGGATCCCATTGAGTGAGCATTGCCCTCCCAAGGCTGCCAGCTGTGGGATCTGCCTTGGGAGGCCCAGCCCAGTGGTCTCAGACTTTCCCCTTTTCTCCATTACAGTTCCTACAATTGATGGATTACGCCATGTGGTGGTGCCCGGGAGGCTATGCCCACAGTTCCTCCAGTTAGCCAGTGCCAACACTGCCCGGGGAGTAGAGACATGTGGAATTCTCTGTGGAAAACTGGTAAAGAAACCAAACTCTTCCCTGCACTGTGGCTGTTTCTTTCCCCTTGGCCTGCCGAGATTCTCAGGGAAGATCTCCAGAATCAGTCACTCTTTGCACCAATCCCTCTGCTGAAGGAATTGTGGACTGCAGTATGTAGTGTCACTTTGAATTTTGTGACCTTGTTGGTTGATTTGCAGAGTCCCTGATTATCTTAGAAATATCTAATTGTTGATAGGAAGGTCCATTTGTTGCCTATATATATCCTGTTTTAAATATTCATTTTATGGTGGGACCTGAGACATAAAATGTATAAGGATGTGTCCATAAGAAAAGCAACCAGTCACTTTGGAGAGTTATAGGAGACGTACAACAAAAGACATACAGTGTGCTGAATAGTAGGTACAGCATGAGCACTGAGAATTTTGCGGAAGGAAAGATCTCTGAATGGAGGCACTTGAACATATTTCTAACTGCTGAATGAAAAAATGAGTGAAGTGGGCTAGACTAAACTTGAGCGTTAAAGGATGAGAAAGACTTGAGGAAACAATGAAAGGGAAACTACTTAAGACACGAGCAAAGGAATAGACATGGGTCTCTGCCCGGAGCTTCTCAAGGACCAGGAATAGCCCCATTTGGCTGCAGGAGGAGATTCCCACGTGGCTGTGGTGCTTACCCAGGCTGCACCACAGATGGAGTTCTGGAGTCTGGGGTTGGTCTCCCATTTGTTGCTTTACAGAGCACCCTGGGCCATGTGCATGAGCGGTTCAGCTTGTGAGCCACTGAGATGAGAGTACAGGGAACTCAAAAGAGACTCATTGGGGTGAGAAGGGTCTTGTACATATGTTCAACTTTGCACTGTCGGGACAGAAGGGGGTTGTGTGAGTTACAAGAAATTGTGACAAGTTGTTTTCTCCTTTGACAGATGAGGAATGAATTTACCATCACCCATGTTCTCATCCCCAAGCAAAGTGCTGGGTCTGATTACTGCAATACAGAGAACGAAGAAGAACTGTTCCTCATCCAGGATCAGCAGGGTCTCATCACACTGGGCTGGATCCACGTAAGCAACCCTGAAGATTCATCTCCTGCTTCCTCATTGTGTTGTAAACACACTGCTTGTTTTTTTTCCTTGAACAAAGCAAATTATGTCCAGATTACTCATTGCTGTCCTCTCCTTTGGATACAGTTTTAAGCATCCTTAACTGCTTCCACTCTTGTATTGATTTCTGGTGACTGTCTATGGCTTTTTAATTTTTTTTACTTTTATTTCTATTTATTTTTCAATAAAAATAAATGTTTCCTTCTGACTATGAGTGATACTAGGAGGCTGGCCAAGAAAAGTGAGAACATTGGTCATAGAGACTGTGCCTACTGTATACTAATGATATTCCTAAAAGGTATATAAATCAAAATATTTTAAATTAGTCAAGGAAGTTAATGTAGATGTTTTCATCTGGTCTTTCTTAAAGCAGTGTATACCTTTATGTAACCAAAAGGGCCAACAATGTTCATGAATATCAGGTACATCAGCATATCATGTGCACCTTCCAGTAATGTATAGGTAAAATAGAATTCCTTCCCTGAGGTTATTTGTTAATTTTTCTATTACTTTTCAACCCCTCACTCAATGTGATAGACCCAAAATGCTTTTCATGGTGTTTGACAGACTTAGAGACAATAACTTGGCTTATTTCTGGCTCTGAGAAGATTACTTATATGCCAGAGTTTGGAAAATACTGACCCATGAGGCAGTCTCCTGTCCTGCCATCCTTCTTTCATTTCAATCTCATGAATTTTTATTGATCTGCCTACTATTGTACCTCCCTCCATGGAGAAGACGAGGAATAAAAAACTTGCTTCCCATCTTCAGGGAATACAAATTTGAGTAAAACACGATTTTAGGCTTCAGATGGTGCAGAATGTGTTAAGGGGCCCCAAAGGGCCACACAGGACACTGGAATTCAGAGGAAGGAGGGTCATACTCAGTGTAATCAACAGAATTATGGCAAGATGAGCCAAGGGAGAGCTCCACAGGAAGTGACAGCACTGGGAATAGGCAGATTGTGTTCCTGGAGCATTGAGTGGTCCTGATTGCTGGAATGTATGGTTTGCATCAGAAAATGGTGGCAGATATGTATCACCAGCATATACTGGAGCCATGTTCTGGAAAGTCTTTGGTGGACAAGCCGTGTCCACTAAGTGGAGAACTCTTGAAGGTTTTTGAACAGAGCAATGAAATGATCGAAGCCATGCTGATGAAAGTGAAACATAAAGGCAGTGTTGAGGTATGGTGAGGCAAGGAGACCATTTAAGAGGTTAGTGTGTTGATAAAACTCAAATAATGAGAGATAGGGTGATGATGCTATGTTTGAGAAGGAGGAGATGAATGTTGGATTTCAAGGGATTTGGGAAATGAGTAACAGAGGGTGATAAGTAAGAGTCAATGATGACTCAGAGACTTCAGCCCTGGCTTATGGGTTGACAGGGATCATTTTAATAGAAACAGGAAATCTAAGAGGAACACTTACTTTGGAAGTAGGATTGAATGTGTTGAATTTAAGGTACTCCTGAGATTCCAAATCATCAGAGATGGTGATCAGGCAGTTGGAAATGTGAGGCTGCAACTTGAGAGCAAAGTCGAAGCAGAGGAGAACTGGAAGTCCTCTGAACAGAGCTGACCTTAGAGACCAGAGGTGGGGCAAGAATGGAGAACAAGAAGAGGTTCAGTGGCAACTTAGAGGACAGGCTACCAGAGGCAGCGTAAAAAGTAGTTGGTATGGGGGCCAGCAGTTTGGTGTAATAGGCTAAGCCTCTACTTGCAGTGCTGGCATCCCATATGGATGCCAGTTCGTGTCCCTGCTATTGTACTTCCGATCTAACTCTCTGCTATTGCCTAGGAAAGCAGTGGAAGATGGCCCAAGTGCTTGGGCCCCTGCACATGTATGGGAGATCCAGAGGAAGTGCCTGGCTCTTGGCTTCGGCCCAGCTCCAGCTGTTGAGGCCATTTGGAGAGTGAACCAGCAGATGGAAGACCTCAGTCTCTGTCTGTTACCTCTCTCTGTCTTTAACTCTACCTCTAAAATGAATAAAATCTTAAAAAAAAAAATAGTTGGTAATGAGGCAAAGAGATGTGTGAGAAGAGTGAGGATAGTGTTAAGGCACCAAAGGCACAGGATGAGAAGGTTGTCTGTGTCCCATGCTGCAGAGCACCACAGAATGGTCATGACCTGGATGAGCCTGTAGGATTTGGTGAGCTTGTTGAGGACAAGGATGTAATGGGCTTTGGGCAGTGTTGGGAGTAGATTTTAAGGGTCTACATCACGGGATTGAGGTTTTGGTAGTAGTGAAACATACACTACCATCTTGAGCTTGGTCTACAGGAAAGGAGAGAGAGGGATGGTGGCTCATGGGGTAGCTGGGTTAAAAGTACATTTGATTGTTTAGTGTAAAAAGGCTTAAATATGTTCTGTTTTTTATTTTGGTTTTTCAAAAACTTTATATTTTTCAATATAGCATATATAAGAAAGTTCATAAACTAAATATATACTTCAGTGAATCATTAATGCAGACATCTATGTACATACATACCTAGGTTAGGAAACAGCACTACCAGAAACCTGTCCCCACCCCACTCACACTTCCTCCCTGGTAAAGAGTACCCCTCTTCTGACTTTTCTGGCCTCCTTTCCTTGCCTTCTTTACAGTTTTACCACCTAAATATGTCTCCCTGAATACTGTAGTTTAGTTTTTCTGTTGATCTTTTTGTGAATGGAAAAATACAATATGTATCTTTTTGTGTCTTGCTTCTTTTGCTCAATCTTTTGAAGGTTTATCCATATTCTGGTGTGTGGTTCTCTAAACGTGTTTTATTTTACACCCAGTAAGCCAAGGGAGGAGATGTTAAAAGGCAGGAGAGCCAAAGTATTGTGGCAGTAGGAAAGTATTGAACTATAAAAACTCATGTGTGGGGTGCATCTTCACATGGGGGAGAAAACATTTGTTCCTCTGAGATAGGACTGAAGGGAGAGGGATGAAGGTGCAGAGGGGCTTTGGAATGATGTTTGGAGGAGCCGAGGGAACGCATTTTAGACGATCTTGATTTCTCTAAGGTTGCAATCTCGGTCTGCCATCAAACAGGAGAGGAGTGGGGGATTTAGAAACTGAAGGGAATAGGGAAGGTGTAGAATAATTGCTGTTTAGACTACAAGTAGAACTGAGCCATGGATGAAGAAAAGGATTTCTAAGTGTCCATGAAGTCACTGCTAGGAGCAAATTTAGAGCCTAAATTAGTAGTAATTCAGCTTTTTTTTTCTGTCCATGATATTTACAAACCATTCATTCCTAATTTGGGATTAAAACAAACAAAAAGCAGACCATAAGGTTTGCGCAAACATTAAAACTGGCAAGATGTGAATGCAGAAGATCAATTCTTCCTTCTGAACTTTGCCAACTTTGAGTCAGTTTCCCTGGTTAAAGACATTGGTCAGGTATTGATCACCAGCGACGATCAAGGCCTCCTTACGTTGTCTCAGGCTTCATTGCCGTCCCTTGTGCTCTGCTCCTGTGCAGGTATCCAGGCTGCCCGCAGCGCTCACTCACTGGGCTCGTTTCTGCTCCCATGACACACTGCGTCTATGAAAATGCCTCCTTCTTCCCCAGCAGAATTGAAACAGCAAATAACTCTTCATTCAATAAGCTTGAAAGGAAGTGGCCCTGGAAAGGAAGGAACGAGGGGAGGCACAGTGGTTAGAGGGGAACGGTGCATCAAAGCAAGGCTTTTCTGTTCCGTTTCACAATTATTTATTGAGCGCCTGCTGTATGTCTTTATATCATCTTCCTTGCTACCCTACTTTAAACTATAGGCCTAGACTAGTTTGTATAAGCCAAGCTTGCTTCCAGTTAGAATCCTGTCCGCATTCCTGGTGTGAAAGGTGTTGCAGCAGGCCACTACTCCCTAGTAGTCTAACAGATCATGTGATCAACAGGTAGAAATGTTTTTTTTCTTGTGGTTCTCCCTGAAGTCCCATGTGTGGATTTGCCACCAGCACTCAGCTGACATGTTCCTGCCCTGAAGACCTCTTCCACAGTGAGCTCGTGTGTCGCATGGAGTGGCGCTTCTCAAATGAGCCTGTACTAAGTCACTTAGAGATCTTGAAAATTTCCCCTCAGACTGGGTGTTCAGCAGAGGTGTTACACCACTGCTTGGGATGGCCTGCATCATCCCATATCAGAGTGGCAGGGTTCAAGTCCTGAGTCTACTTCAAGTCATGAAGCCAGTTCTGGCTTCCTGCTGATACGTACCCTGGGAGGCAGCAGGTGATGGCTAAAGGGCTTATGTCCTTTCCATCCACTTGGGAGACCAGGATTGAGTTCCTGGCTCCCAGCTTTGACCTAGTCCAGTCCTGGCTGTTGCAGGCATTTGAGGAATGTCTCTATCTCTGTCTCTCTGCCTTTTGAAAACAAATTGCCTTTTCATGATAGATATTTCCAGGGGTATGTGCTTTTGACAAGTGCCTCAGGACATTCATTTTTTGCATAACCAATAGGAGGCTGCTAATCAATTATACTTGTTTATTTTCTATGCTTTCCTCTCAGTGAAAGGTGGTGGTATTTTTGAGTCAAAATGGGTCTTTATTTTTTCATACTTGTTACTTAAGATCACACCCTCTGTCAGAGAACGTAATTCATCATATAGTTGTCTTCTGTATTTAAAAAAATGTGCTTAATAAAACATAAAATATGAGCAGGCATTTAGCCTAGCAGTTGAGATGCTTGTTCAGACGCCTGCATCCTATCAGAATGCCTGGCTTGGATACCCAGCTCTGGCCCTTGACTCCTGCTAATGCAGACCCTGGAAGACAGCATTCAAATGCTTGGGTTCCTGCCACCCACGTGAGACACCTGGATCGAGTTCCCAGCTTCTGACTTTGGCACCTGCCAAGCCCCATTTGTTAAGGGCAGTTGGGTAGTGAGCCAGCAGATAAATCTCTCACTCTCTCTCTTTCTAATGTTTCTCTGTGCCTCTCAAAAATTTTAAAAATAAGATAATTAAAAACAATTGAAATAAAATGAATGCACATTTAGATGGTGCCTTCACTGATCACCCTCAAATTTCAACATCATATTCTACTGTCTGACAGGTTCCTTGGCAAGGTTTAACTATCCACTGAAATCTAAGTAGCCCCCTACCTCCCATATGTTCCTTGAATGATGCCTTAACTTCAGGACAACTTATAGAGCCCAGGACTCATATTTGACCTTTTCATAATACTCCATAAGGAAGAAGACTTATTCATTTAATTGTGGTTTATTAAGACCTTAACATCTACCATGTTGAACTATTGGGCAGCATGTCCCATCTGTTCAGAGTGGGTGACTCTCCATGGTGTAGAGAGAGCTTGTGAAGAGCCAAATGAGTCTTGGTGGCCAATTCAAAAGTATGAGTCTATTGAACAACCAACGCCTGAATCATCCAGAGAGATGCTCATACTTCTTGGAAACGGTAAAAAAGGAGAAATCCTCAGAGTAAGTTTCCAGGGCCACTCTCCTGCCATTCACAGTTGTTGAGGACACCCTGCCTTGTCTGTGGACATCCATCACCATGACCCTACTAACATCTTTGATTCTATGGATCCCAGGGTGAGCCCAACATCAATGTCCTTGAATTCTTACAGTTTGGCTCTGGAGTAGAACAAAGAGAAAAAAAAAATCAACAACCCTCCCCCTCTCCTGTCTCCAAGCCTGTGCCTGTCTCCACTCCCATCGTGCCTGTGACCTTCTCACCACAGGTAGCCTTGACACTGGTCTCTCTGCTTGTCTCCATATGGTGGAAAGGCAGGTACGTTCATCTTCCCACCTGTGGCACCAGGGATGCCAGTCTCCCTACCTGCAGTGCCCAAGGCACAGGAGTGATCTCCTGGGCTCCATACCTCCAGCTCCCACAATGCCAGTCTCCTCACCTGCACTGCCCATTGTGGAGGTTTCTGCATTGGGTCTCCATCCCCAGTGCTTATGCAAGGCCGTCTCCTGTCTCCATGCTGAGTCAGCCACTCGCCAGTTTCCCAGCCTAAGACCCCTGCGCCCCTGACGTGTGTCTCACGTCCTGAAGCTCACCACGCCCCAGGCGGAAGTCGCTCCAGTGTCCCACTAGTGTGGGACTCGGGGCAGCTGGCAGTTTCCATGGGCCACATCGGTGGTGGCAGTGGGGCTCCCCCACCAGGCCCCAGCCCTCAAAGCCACCGCACCATGCCAGGGAAACTTCTTCCCAACACCTGGGGCCGTCTTCCTGTCTGCCTCGACCTCGGAAGTCAGCTCCTGCGAGCAGTGATCTGTGGGCCTTGGCGCTGCCTATCAGTATCTTTCCCTCTGAGCTGTGCCCGTGCCCTCTTTGTACCCTGCTGGTATAGTAGTGTCCATCTGTTTTCCAGCTGCCTTGCTGCCACCCCCAGCCCTCAAAGCTCTGCAACCTGCAGCCCTGCATCTGACCAGGCGTTGAAGACCTATTCAGCCTGCCAGGCCTTGAGACCAGTGGACCAAAGTTCCCATTATGAATGGTCCAGGGAGGGAAGTTCACCCTCTGTTCACTGCCCCCTACCACTACCACCAAGGGTTCAGGTTGCCTAACATCTCTCTTCCTTCCCACGGGGAGAGTCAAAACGTGTCATCCCTCTCTCCACTGTTTCCTTTTAGACAACATGGCCCAGCCCCCCGGGCCTCTCCCTGAGAAGGTGGGGGGCTATCTCACCTGTAACTGTGAGCTAGGATGGGGTGCACGTGCCCGGGCTCAGCTTCGCTCTGTCTCTCAGACCACATCCTGTGGGCAGCATCCTGACGTTAGGGTTCTGTGCAGTGTGTGTGAAGGCATCTCTAATACAAGCAGCCCCCCTGACCCGAGCTCGTGGCGTCTCCCCGCCGCTGCTCTACAGACAAGTGCCCACCTCCTAAGATATTTGATGTTCTTACTCCCATCCCCTTCCCCTCGCTCGTTGTGTTCCTCGCCACAGGCAGCTCTTCCAGTTTCCAAAATCTGCTTATTCCCTTTATTGCTGTGAGCTCTTTTACTCATTTTACTCCTTGTTTTCTAGGACTTTATAATAGGAGCATATATTTTTATTTTTATTGGCAAATAAAATTAATATATATGCATATGGTGTACAACATATTTTTGTTTTATTTTTATTCTAATTGGCATATGATCATTGTACTTATTTATGGGGAATGATGTTTTGAAATAAGTATACATGGTGGAGCGGCTAAATCAAGCCAATTAACACGTACATTACCTCACATACTTATTTTTTGTTGTGAGAACTTAGAAGCTACTCTGTTTTCAAGTGTATAACACGTTGATATGAATTATGATCAACATATTCATCTCTTGAACTTGAGAAAAAAGACACTGTGAATCTCTTTGCATACTCCTGTTTCCAATGCTGGGAAAGAGTATCCTTACTTGCTAACAGTGTCAGGTGTTCCCCTCATGGTTGCCAGTGGCTTTCTGCTTGAAGGGGAGATCGGGGTCGTTGAGAATTACTTGGCTCTGCCATCCTTTCTGTCCCAGACTGGCTGGCTGCCCTCTCTGAGAGTTCTCTTTCTTTTTCTCTGCAGACGCATCCCACCCAGACTGCCTTTCTCTCCAGTGTTGACTTGCACACGCACTGCTCCTACCAGATGATGTTGCCGGAGTCCATTGCCATCGTTTGCTCTCCCAAGTTCCAGGAGTAAGTCCACGGGACCTGGCTGTGGGTTCCAAAGAGGCTGTAGGGAAAAAGGTCTCTTTCCTTGTCAGCTGGGGTTTTATAAAATATAGATTGTAGTATGAATTGGCTGTTCTAAAAGGCTTCCTTTTAAGCCCCGTATCCTAATAAACCTACCATGCTGGTTTAAAAAGATAACTAAGCAATTACTTAGTTGCTTTTCAAAAAAAAAATTCTCAAGAAATATGAAGTGCTTGACTTGAAGTGATAGGAATTTGAGGATTTTGATGTTGGATTAAAGAACTTCAAAATCAAGCACATGATCTCAAGATCATTTTTCTTTCAAATCCTGTTGTTTACTATGAATTCTCCCAGCAAAACAGGGTGATGGCAGTTATAAATCTCTCCCTAACTGATTCATTCACCAGGGAAGAGACCTGTAAACCAGCATGCTATGGATGCTCTCTCAAAATGACTTCTTGTGTGGGCATGTGTGCCTGTGTGTGTGTACATGTCCCTGGAGCGTGCATGCCTGTGTGTGTGCATGACCTGAGTGTGTGTGTGAGTGTGCATGCCTATGTGTGTGCATGTCTCTGTGACCATGTGTGCCTGTGTATGTGAACATGCGTGCCTGTGTGTGTGCATGTCTGTGTGTGAACATGCATGCCTGTGTGTATGTCTCTGTGTGTGTGAGCATGTGCGCCTGTGTGAGTGTGCATACCTATGTGTGTGTAAGCATGTGTGCTTCTGATTATGTGTGAGCATGCACGCCTGTGTATGTGTGTGCATGCCTCTGTGTGTGTGTGTGAGCGTGCATGTGCACATGGAATGGACAGGGTACTACACTTTTGCTGGACTCTGAACCTGCCTGTTGTTGTTTCAGAACTGGATTTTTTAAACTGACCGACCATGGGCTAGAAGAGATCTCTTCCTGTCGCCAGAAGGGATTTCATCCGCACAGCAAGGATCCACCTTTGTTCTGTGTGCGTATCTACCTAGAAGACATTGGAGCTGTGTTTCAAACAGGGAGGACAACCAGGCTGATGAGTCAACATCGTCCTTTCTGACTCCTTTCAGGATCAGCCTTGTCGCTTATCTTTCCTCATCTCCAGAATGAGGACATACCTGGGAAGCAGTGTGGGATCGGGATAGATTCGAATCTATGTGATGAGGTCACAAACCCTTCCCAGGGTTCAGCTTCCTCGTGTGTAGAATGGAGATAATAGTAATAACAATAGCCACTTGACTGAGAGAGTTAAATAATGTGCAGAAGGTACCCACTGCGATAACTGCTCATTAAATATTAGTTTTTGTCAATGTCAGTGACTAAGCCTGTTCTTCAGTAAGAGATTGAAAACGCACAGGAAGCAAGTCACTTAAAATAGGTAAATGGAGTATACTCGATTCTGGAATTTTGCTTAGGTAAGAGGGTGTTTAATCATCCTAGGAAGTGGTTTTTCCCCACAAAGTTGTGTTCTGTGAATGAAGAGTTTAGTTGATGATAAGATCAGTATGTTTCAATTCAGCCCTCAAATCTAATGTGACAGTGTTGCTTTCCTACATGGAGGCCATGGAGTGTAGTTATTTCTTTCAGGTTCAGAGAAAAGTGACCAATATGGGAAAGGGAATCAGAGCCTTGTTACATGGAAGGAACTGAGGGTGTTCAAAAGAGACACCCCAGGAAGGTTACAAGAGCTCATTTCAAGTGTTGGTACTGGGTGTTTCTCATGTCATTGGAATGACAGATTTCAGCTGAATGTGAGGAAGAAGCTTCTGACGATCTGTTCACAAATAGACTGGTCTGCGTTGGAATGTAATAAATGTCTGGGTACCAGGATGTTGCAACAGAGACTTCACAATCAGAGAAAAGAAGTCTGTGGCGCCAGTGCTCAGGTTTTCAGTAGCAGAGACCCCGTTTTCAAGCCGAAAGTGAGCATTTCCCTGTGGGCTCATGGGTGTGCTGTATTATCTGCTTGATGTAATGACCCAAAAACTGCAGTGAATTCAATAGTTCTTTGAAATAACTTGTATTTTAAGAATAACTCTATTTGTCCCCAGATTTTGGCACCAAAAACAGAAAGAATGACTCTGGGATAAACATGTAAAAACTAAATGGAGATATATGGGCAGAAGTTGATTTGGTTAAGCAAGAAAGGGGTTACTAGAAATGCTAGTTCCCAGGCCCTCTACCACAGCTGCCACTTCAGGAGCAGTCTGGCTTCCAGACTGGGAACCACTGGCCTAGAATGAGCACTTTAAATATTTAAATAATATTTCCTTCTCTGTTACAGAGCTGCAGCCACGTGACTGTTGTGGACAGAGCGGTGACCATCACAGACCTCCGATGAGAGTGTGACTCAGGATCCTCCAAGAACTATGAGCCCGCATCAGTGGACTGTAGCCCGCGACTTGAAGCTTTCCAGAGAGCTTTGGAAGCTTTTTTAGATGGACTAGGAAGGGGCATCACCCAGGGGAGAACTGATTTTCTGTTTCTGGTTTGAAAAGAAATAATTGAGTATCTTTTTTAGGCAAGTCTGAAAAAGAGCATGATCACACTAAAGTACTGTAACCCAAAAATTATGTGGAAAGAAAGGTGTAACAGATACCCATATACCTTCCTTCTAGATTCACCACTTGTTAATATTCTTTTCCTCTCAACGATCCTTCTAATTTATCTGCCAACTTATTTGTTATTTACCTTTGGACTAAATAAGGGCATCTATGCAGAAATTTGGAAGCCATTTAGGAAAAATCTTTAGAATTTTCCTGTGCTTTCTGGCCATATTAATGAAGCTTACTGTAAGCTCTCCCATCCGTGCAGATGGCAAAACTTAGAAACCCTGAAGGACGATTGTTTTCAGGAATCACTGTTATGTAACAAACATTTCAGGATATTTTTTCCTCTACAATAAAATAACATTTAACTTGTCGTCAGACTCTAGAGTGAACCATTTGATCAAGTATCATAGAAACAGGGTTAAATTAGAATTTTGGGGACGGGGAGCAGAACGTGGATTTTGGGATGTGCTGACACTGAAGGTGTGTCCCAGTTCGCTCCTCATTATGCAGTGTTCTCTGCCCACTGTGGTCTTCCAGGGCTGTGAAGTCATCGCTGTTCTTTGGGTGCTGTCTCAAGTGGGTCATCCCATTCACCTCCTCCTTATGTCCTGCAAACTTTCAACTGCGGATAATAGAGCCTTTGTGTGGACAACCAGGTTACACTCCAAATAGATGATTACATTCCCTCGCCGCCCCACCCCGCTCATTTCACTGTGTTGCTTTTTCTTTTCTGACTTAGGCAACACCTAGGAAGACGTTTGAAGTTGCATTTGATCCTGCATTTTTCTTCAATGAGCTGATCCTAGTGTTCCAAGGTGGCCTAGAAATAATAGTGTTATTTGTGACACCTCAGGTGAGGGCAAGAGAGTAAATGCCTTGGAGAGAAGAATGATTTCTGGTGGGAGGAAGGGACCGTGTGGAATCCATAGTATTGTGAAGTTCTGCTCAATTTAAAATGTTTTCTGTCTTGAGTATGTTTAGTCTTTATTGCTTGGGCCAGTGGTCCTTGAAACTTTCCCCTCAAAGAGCCAAGTCTCTGTTTTTTTGCTTCTCTTAATTTCCAAGATATGGGAAATTCCTGCAGTTCTTGGCATAGGTTGAAATGGGAGACCATCTGGGTTTGGGCAAGAGGAAGAATGCCCCTTTCCATGCGGTGGCCCAGAGGCAGCCTGGCTGTCCCACCCTGCCCTCAGCAGTCCCAAAAATGCCCACGTTTGGCCAGCACCGCAGCTCACTTGGCTAATCCTCCGCCTGTGGCGCTGGCACCCCAGGTTCTAATCCCGGTTAGGGTGCCAAATTCTGTCCCGGTTGCTCCTCTTCCAGTCCAGCTCTCTGCTGTGACCCAGGAAGGCAGTGGAGGATGGCCCAAGTGCTTGGACCCTGCAGATCAGGAGGAAGCACCTGGCTCCTGGCTTCGGATCAGCACAGCACACTGGCCGTGGTGGCCATTTGGGGGGTGAGCCAATGGAAGGAAGTCCTTTCTCTCTGTCTGTCAAAAAAAAAAAAAAAAAAAAGAGAAAGAAAGAAAAAGAAAAAGGAAGAAAACCACAGCACCAAGCATTTGTACCTAAGATTTGCAAGCTCTCTTGTCAATCTCTGCATATCAGAGACACTCAGCAAATGTCTCTTCCACCAAAGTGAACTGGATGTGTCACACATTTCAACCCTAGTCATCACTGACTGAGACCAAAGTGCCCTTGAGCATATGATGTTGTAGTGGCTAGATGGATACAAGGAATCAGCCTAGACTACATCCTTGCACCTGCTACCGTATAGCCACAAAGGCACCCCAGGGTTCTTTCAGTGTCTCTTTCCCTCTTTTCCCTACCTTTGTGGGAAAGACATGATATTGAGCCAGCCCACTAGGCAAGCAGGAAGACTGGACAGGCTGCTGGGACAGAGAAGGAACTAGAGTAGTAAGAAAAAGAAGACTGTGAATAAAACCATGAAACCTGGGGAAAGCAGGTTCTATTGAAAGGGTAGACCTTTTCGCTAAAGAAACTGACTCCTGGGCTCCCATACCTCACATGCCAGGAGGCTTTTCACTCTTCAGGATGCACAGTACCACGCTTAGGCCAAGGAAGGAGACAGAGGCAATGTCTTTGTGTATTCCAGTCAACCTCCAGTGCCACTGGCCAGATGGCAGAGAGACCATGGAGGAGCTACTGGGGGTCAGGGCGGGCTGGGGTTGTCCAATGGTCCCTTTCACATTCTGCTTACAGGGGTCCATTGAGGAAGAAGAACTTCTTAGGCCTTTATAAATGTTCTCTTGGGCACCAGACATCTTAAAAGGCACTCCCTGGTGGGGCCAGCATCTTGGTAGATATTTCTTGTTTGAGAGGCAAGTTTCAACTTCCTGTTAGTGCCATAGAATCTAAAACCCTAAGTGCCAATCCCTCTTTGACCACAGATGGCTGCTTATGGGTTTCAGCTACCCCAGTGGAAGGAGAAATGTTTCATGGAGGAATTGGGAGGAATGGAGACCACTGAGAACAATGTTTTAATGAGGGTAGTAATGAAGAATCTCAGACAACTTTTGGTATCTTTCAAGTGGATTTGGAGAAGGCAGTTTTAGGACCCGACCAGATATCGTTTCCTAGGAAAGTTTGTCAGGTTTTGGTATTGTACTTCCTGGAGTTTTAACCCACCCTCGGTTGGGGGCCAGTTTGTCCCAGAATTGTTCAAGCACATGAGTCAGAGTGGGACTGCTAAGTCAAGGCTGCTCTCTTATGAGGAGCTGAGTATGGGGGCACTGAGAAGGTCTGTTCAGATTTGGATCATTGGAAGGTTATCGTCACTAGAGGAAGTGCCAGATAGAATATTTAACACTTTGCTGGCAGTGGTCATTTGGCACAGCTGCTAAGAGGCTGCTTGCTATGCCTACATCCCATCGGATGGCCTGGCTCTGAGTCTGGCTCTGCTCCCAATTCCAGTTTTCTGCTAATGCACACCCTGGAGGTAGTAGCTGGTGACTCAAGCAATTGGGTACCCTCTACCCACATAGGAGACTCAGATGGAGTTTCAAGCTCCTGACTGGTCTGGCCCAACCTTGGCTGTTATAGGCATTTGGGGAGTGAACCAACAGGTGGAAATAGAAGATCTCTCTTTTTCTCTTTGTGCATTTCAAATAAATCAACCAATAAAAGGGTTTTTTTTAAGTCTTTATTGCTAGGCTCAGCTGCTCATTCACCAGCAAGTCACTTAACTTTGCAAACTTCTATAAAAATCTTAAAAATGGGATGGGTCTAATAAATCTACCTCAAATAAGGATAGAATGGCATTCATATGCAAATTAAGCCTGGGAACTTTGAAAGATGTTATTTTTTTAAAGATTTATTTATTTATTTGAAAGGCAGAGTTATAGAGAGGGAAGGAGGCAGAGACCAAGAGAGATCTTCCATCTGCTGTTTCACTCCTCGAATTGTGGCAATGGCTAGAGCTGGGCCTGTCTGGAGCCAGGAGATTCCTCTGGGTCTCCCATGAGGGTGCCAGGCCCAAGCACTTGGGCCATCCTCTGTTGTTTTCCCAGGCACGTTAGCAGGGCACTGTTCAGAAGTGGAGCAGACAGGACTCAAACCGGCACCAAATGGGATGCCCTTGTTGCAGGCAGCAGCCTTACCTGTTATGCCACAGTACTGGCCCTGTGATTTGTTATTTGTATCTCTTGAAATGTTCAAGTTGAGGAACTGTTGCTTCCAGCTACTGAGCCCTTGTCCCACCTTTGTGTTGCTAGTTGGACCTCAGCTCCAAATCTCTGTCTGATATCCCCTAATGTTCTGAGCTGAAAACGGGCCCCGAAGAGCAACAAGAACCATTCCAAGTCTCTATGCATTGTCGCTAAGACCCAGAGCACAGCCAGGACCTAACAAGATAACACCATGCCTTTTTTCCCTTTGGCTCCACCTCACTCTTTTTTTAATTTATTTTAAAGGTAGAGTTACAGAGCACTCTTCAAATGGCCACAATGGCTGGGGCTGGACTAGGACTGGAAGACCATCTGGGTCTCCCACTTGAGTGGCAGGTGCCCAAGCACTTGGACCATCTCCTGCAGCTTTCCTTGGTACATTAGCAGGGAGCTGGGTCAGAAGTGGGCTCAGAAATGGAGCAGCTGGACTCGAAATGGCATTCATGCAGGATGCCAGCATTACAGAATGCAGCTTAGCCCACTATGGCACAACACCGGCCCCTCCACCTCACTGTTGTTTGAGCCTTCCACTTTTGCTGTTCCAACTACTTTTTTTGAAGAGAAAAATAACTTTGATCCTCTTTGCTGAAGTCTTTACCCTTTAATCCAAGGTTCGATTTTTATTTAATCTTAGCCTACTTGAGGTTAGAAGTGGGATCTTAAGCTTATCAAGTGCACCTGGAATCACCCACTGAACCTGTTAGGCCCAGCACCCAGCCTGTGGCCCTGCCCAACCCTGGGCTCTTGTGTCCTGAAGTGTTCAGATCTGCTTCCTTTGGGACTTGGTTTAAGTTCTATCTCCTTTATTTCCTTCTCTCACTGACATATTAACTCTGAGGGCTCCTTTCCTGCAATTCCAGTGACATTTATAGCCACTTTCCCACAGTTTTCTGTTTCTTGTTTGTTTGTTTTTGCTGTTTTGCAGCGTTTTCTTATCATCCTGTGTGAGTCACATCTCTGAATGCTCGTGTACATTCTGTTATGGTTGGGACCATGTTTACTTTATGCCTGGTGTTAAGTGCCTTTCACTCCATTTAGCACCTCCTTACTGCATAGCATTTCCTTGAAATGATGTCCTTGGTGTTGAATCATGTTAGGAAACCAGCTGGATGGGTGCTCCAAGGCTTCAGATGCTTTACCCCTACCTGTGAGAAGCCATCCAACCCTTGACTCATCATCGTGTTAGGCTTGAGTTCTAGCTGCCAGGACAGATGGCGGATCTGCATCACAGGCTCCTCTGAGGGGTGGCCGGAAGGATATGTGCCTGCAAAGAAGGCTGAAATGGGCAGGGCAGAGAGACAGGAAGAGACCAAAAGATGGGGCACCACCATCTTACGCAGAAACCAAGGAAGGCGACGAGTTACAGAAGGTCAGAGACACCAAATGGCTCAGAAGAGTTTCCTGGGCTAAGTCCCAAGATAAATCCATGGGATTGGGCCATTAGCAGAGGCCTCTCCTGACAACCCTGTCACTGTCATATCACCTTTACTGTCTGCCTGGCACCATCACTAGCCAAAATCATCCTGTTTGTTCGTTTCTAGTGTGTGTATCCAAAGGATTCTCCTTGGGAACAGCAACTTTGTCTTGTTCACCATGTACTGTCAGGTCCAGAATATTGCCTGACACACATTGAGACATGGATGAATGCGCAGACATGGCCAAAGTCAGCCAGCTGGTAAATGGTG